TTTCTCTTTCTTAACCGACTTTGTGTATATAAAAACGTACATAAAGATAGGAATTTGGGATTTGTGAATGTGCAGAACAAAAACACAGGCTTTGAAATACTCATCCTCTGATTGGCCATTGCTTTCATGTGCTCAACAGACATGTCTGTGATTGGCTACAACACTCAACGCTTTAAAAACACACACGGTGCACACGCTGTAAATGGAAACCTTTACACAGTGCCAGATGTCTTCACAGAACACTGATACACACAGGAGCATTTAAAAGCATGATATGTTTATAAAATGTTTAATTATTACACATTTTAATAAATATAAGATATTAGAAAACGACATCTATTTATCTTAAATAGTATGTTAAGAACTAGTTAGACATCTGTGCTATGTGAAGGCTATCACAGTAAATCTAATCGTCCGAACAGGAGAACCTGTCAGTGCAGGTGAGTGTTGGGATATGATTGATGGTTTGGGCTCTCATTACGGGCCGCTCTGTGAGCTCTGAACGGCCTCGGCTTTGTCCCATCACCGGAAAGTGCTGAGGCATTGCTAAGCGCCATTGTCCTGGTGTATTCATGCATGAGACGGTGGCATGTTTGCTCAGAGATGAGCGCCACTGTCTCCGGGTCGCCCGGACACATAAGCCGCAGCTTCACACAAAGCATTCCAGACGTGACGCTTTATGGGGACGTGGGGACAATGAGGGCTCTCAGGACTGCTCAACGACCCCGCATGGATGTTAGGAGCGCTGCCGCACCATATTTTTGTGTTTCTGTCCTGATGGCAGGATAGATTCTTGTCTCTATAGAAAGCGAATAGACGATTGACAGGAACTCTCAGCCAATCAGAGTGCGGTGACCTATATAACAGCAGGATGCATATGGCGTTATGTTTTTAATGCTGTAAATGCAGATATCCTGTCCCTGAGTGTGTTTTCGTGGAAGCATACTTTTTTTTTTCATGGCGGTGCGGTATGTTGAGTAATATGGCCATCATGAGGAGACGGAGACCCTGATCTGGGCTCTCTGAGGCCTCAGCTGTGTTTGACGCTAATGCTTCAGGACGTTCATTCACAGTCACTCTCTCTGGTTTCTCCTGTTCGTCCCCGATCCTGTGTAAACCCTGCTCAAACATCCCGTCAGTGATTCTCTAGGACTTTACAATGAATTTATTCATGCTATTATTGAGTCTGCGAGTTAGAGTTCCTTCTTTTGTTCTCATTCATCTTCTTTCTTTCATCGTGTTCTTTTAGGCTTTGGCTGTCATTCATTCATGTACTCTCTCTGATCCTTTAGTTTCTTTTCTTTCTCATAGATCTAGTCTGCTCATGCATGTCTCTCCGAGCATGTGATCTTGTAGCTGCTAGGCATTTGCTCATAATAATCCAATGCATCCTTCACTTCTGTACATGAGTAACAGCAGCTCATACAGCTCCTCCCAAAGACTTGAGTACCTGGCCATTTATCTGTTAAGCCTATAAAGCCTACTGTATCATATTTGAAATGCTGCAGATTTTTTAGATTTTTCAACATGATCAAAATCTGTGATACACAATCTACTCCACTCCTTCTGTCGTCTGATTGATAGTTTGTTTGTTTTTTTCTCCAGTAAAAGCTCCTTTAGTGTAATTGTAGAAACGTCCAGCTTCAGCTGCTGCTTCAGTGTCTTTCTGCTGTCAAATCTTGACTGATTTTTATCAAGTAAACATCAAAATAACTGTAGTAATATTTCCAGATGAACACTTACTGGACTGAAGCAGCTCGGCTTGATTCTCCAGACATTCACTTTTTAGAAAAGTCTCAAATCTGATCATCAGGATCTTTTGAGGAACGTTTGTTTGTTCATTTCTCAGTCATCATTGCATTGCATTGCATTAACAAACTAAGCATTTAGATGTTCTCCCAACTGTTTACATTCACTTAAGACAGAACTGACTGCTTGGTTTACATGAATACTCACCAAGAAATGCATTTTGACATAATTGTTTGTGAATTTGACTCTTCAGTGCACGTGCTTCCAAATTGAGTTTTTATTGTCCCCAGGAGCGTATTATGCTTTTATTAACTTCTTTTAATATCACACATCTCCTGCAACTTTATTTCCATGTTCATCCATATATCATCATCATCCTAGTTGTCACTGTTTAATGGCTAGCAGTGCTTTACTGTGGTGAAATCATCACACAGTCACTTCCTTTACTCTGGATCAGGATCATCTGACATTCATGCTCTCCTCGTGTGTGTGTGTGTTGAGCAACACAAGTGATGTTTCTGCTCTGGTTTGTTGTGCCGACACCATAGACGCACGTCTCCACCCATGAGCACCTGCGGCTTTCTGTGGCCATCGACACGTTATCATCAGAGAGCCGTGCTGTGTGTGATACACTAGTGTTTGTTTGCTCTCGCTGTTCACCTAATGCACTTCACCAATGCAGGAACAGCCACTATCGATCCACTGCAAACTGAAATCCATTAGCTGTGTGTTTGTGTGTGTGTTGTGTTTACAGAGCGTAACGTCTGATCTCTCATCAGTAAATCTGCTGCGAGTGAACACTGGGATTAGTTTGTGTAATTGCATCCATAACAGCAGCTTATGGTGTTCTGTGTGTCGTGTCATAACCAGACAGATTAATACTCTCTCTCTGTTTTTGTTTATGTGCGTGTAGTTGATTGAGAGACTTAAACTGACACCTGGCACAGATGCAGCATCAGATGTTGTTGCTGTCAGCCATTCCTAATTTATTCCATGAAAAGAAGTGTCTGACAACATAAATGCATATAATTAAAGTCTCCTGTGTTTCACAGTCACACATAGGCTATGGCTTTTTGGCTAGGTTTAAAGGGAAAGAGCACTTTTAGATAAACAAGGCAGTAATAGATGGCACTCGTGGAGGTAGGAAAACAAAGTTCTTTATGAACAAAAGTAAAAAGCATTGAATAATGTGTTGCTTATATTTATTGTGTTTAAACATGTCTATGAAAGATTGTATTACTGTACTGTGTAAAAAAAGAATCACAATGTTGAAAAAGCATTTTCAGTGACAATGTTTGGATTTGAAATCAAAATGGATAAATGTTGTGTTTGTAAACGGCCCTGGATCAGTTGCAGACTCCTGTGTGAAAGCACAGTCCGTGCTGCTTCTGCACTGCTTATGTACCGCACATAGACTGCATACGCACTGCAAATGGAGTATGTGTGAACCTCATATACAGCTCACCAAATCAGGCTTGCGCTGTGTGTAACCTATTGTGCAACAACTGCACGATTGTCAAAACAAAAATGCACTGCATGATCAAACATTTATGTGAGATAAATATATTTTTTTGAAAAATGTCTAAAAAATGTCCCCCTCCACCCCTCAAATGAAAAAATCCCCTCTCACAGGCGTCTCCTAAGAGGGGAAATCATTTTCAAAAATGAAATTCAGGCCCTGAATAAATGTCTATAAATCTTGATTGGATCATCACTATAAATAATTCTACATGGCTTAGAAAAGATGGGGTATCTGTGATCGTATCGGCAGATACTGCTTTCTGTGATCGGCCTCAAAAACCCTGATCGGAGCACCCCTACTACAGTAATATTTAATATTGACTTGTTTGAGATTTGGGGCCGATAATGTGTGCAAAGCATCATGGGGCGTGAGACATAGGTGGATGGATAACTACATTTAAGTTTTTGTTTTGTTGTGGTTGCAAAAAAACATGACTTGTTAAAAGCTGTGCATAAGCGCTTGAATGCATGGGATGTCTGACAGATGAATGCAGCGCTGTTCCTCAGTGACTAATGCTGTTGAGCTCCAACCAGCCTCTCATTCCTCAGGAGTCACACACACTCACACTCACGCTGACCACTTCAGCCCACTGTCTGCCAGTGTCCAACAGGCCCATTATGACCCGGTGCTTCAGAGCGACTTTACAGGAATACTTTACATACCAGCCAAAAATCACACTTCTGTCCTCATTTACTCACCATTATAGTCTTTCTTCCATAGAATCTAAAAAGCTGTCTATACAATGAAAGTTTTGTTTGTTTTGGACCCCATTTACTTGCAGGTTTGGAATGACATGAGAGCATGAGAGTGAGTCAATTATGACAGAATGGTCTGTGTGAGTAAAGTGTGTTCATATCTTTCTTCTTCATTGTCTCTCTAGAAACGGGCGAAAGGCCAGTACCTGTTTTTTCAAGTCTGCGACCACCTGAATCTGTTGGAGAAGGATTACTTCGGCCTGAGCTTTAAAGACAACGGCGAGCAGAGTGTGAGTTCACTCGCTAACACACAGAAACATCACACAACACACACTGACGTTATCCGTGCCATGTGTTCGTGTTCATGTTCAGTGCATGAGCTGATGGAGTGAATAAGAACTCTGGAAACAACGAAACACATCTGAACGCCATCGTGACTCATGCGCTGCATTGGAATGATGTTTTGTGAGGAACCGAGCCCAGTTTAAATGGTTATTAAGTTGTCTGTCCTGTGAGATCACAATGTCACTGGCTCTCCTCCAGAACACTGATGCCAAACAAACACTGATACTGTACTGCGCAATGTAATAGAATAATGCAAACAGCAAAGAAGTGTAAATGAAAAATGGGTTGAAATGCAATCACAAAGTATCTGAATCCAGGGTCAGGTTGAGGTGAATGTGAAGGACTCTCTTCCTCACAGCAGAGTCCGAGCTCAGGTGCTGTGTTCAGTGCTGCGGTGTGACTGACTCCTCTGTGTTTCTGTGTTGCAGTGCTGGCTGGACCCCACCAAGGACATCAAGCGGCAGATCCGCAGTACGTGTTTCTTTCTCTTCATGAGGTGGTCTGGGTGGGTTTGAGTAACTGACAGTATGACGGACTCCTCGCACACATCTGCAGCTGGAATAGCTGTAATTATCAGAGTGCTGTAGTGACGCACACAGCACAGGCTGGAGTGAGAGCAGATTCCTCATTCACACCACACAAACACAATCAAAACCATCAACAAAGCACTGATGCCTGCTGTCAGCTGATTCTGATGTTTCATCTTCAGAATGACGTGCGGCATATGTGACCCTGGACCACAAAACCAGTCATAAGGGTCAATTTTTTTCATCTAAAAGCTGAATAAATAATCTTTCCATTGATGTATGGTTTGTTAGGATAGGACAATATTTGGCTGAGATGCAACTATTTGAAAATCTGGAATCTGAGGGTGCAAAAAAATCTAAATATTGAGAAAATCATCTTTAAAGTTGTTCAAATGAAGTTCTTAGCAATGCATATTACTAATCAAAAATTAAGTTTTGATATATTTTCGGTAGGAAATTTACAAAATATCTTCATGGAGCATTATCTTTACTTAATATACTAATGATTTTTGGCATAAAAGAAAAATGTATAATTTTGACCCATACAATGTATTGTTGGCTATTGCTACAAATATACCCCAGCGACTTAAGACTGCTTTTGTGCTTCAGGCTCACATATGTTTTTTGTTGAGTTTCATATTTGATGGATCAGGCTTTTTTATTTAGAAGCCCAAACTGAGCAAAAATATGTGATTTGCTGCAGATGTTGATGTGTAGTCAGTCAAGATTTGACAGCAGAAAGACACTGAAGCAGCAGCTGAAGGTAAAACTCTAAACTATCAGTAGCTTTACAGGGTTGACGTCTGCTTTTATGGCACTGGACTGCTGGTGAGTGAGTGTGTGCTTGCTGTTCACTCTGAAGTGTGCCATTGTTTGACATGCAGTCAGGTGCTGTATATATGAGACACACACAGGTGAATCAGACGTCTTATCTGCTGTTATGACTCAGTCTCTGCGTCTGTAGAGCGTCTGGAGGAGAGCTGAAAATAGAAAAACAGGACAGACTGAGAGAGAGAGGAAACGCACAAGAGCAGCTCTCCTTCTGAAAGACACGTCTATAAAAACGGCAGCTGTGTCCTCGTTTCCAGAGACTCTCACTGAAACAATGAGGTTGAGTTTGCTGCGCTGCGTCCTGACCTCTGACCCCCGAGTCCGCGCACAGCACAGTGATCTGAACTAATTCCACTCATTCTGCCATGTGCTTTATGAGTGAAACTTGAATAAGGAAAATGTCAGAAATATGAACAGGAACCACTACTTTAGATCCAATGACAAAGCAGCATTCATGTTTGATCATGACATAACCACTGACTGAAGATCTTACTGGAAAACAGCCTGCATATAAAATAAGTTATCGTAATTATAGTAAAACCATAGAAAAAATATCACTTGAAATGAAATAAATGTTAACTGAAACTAGTTGTTAATGCATCATTTGCATTTAGTTTAATTTGATGTACTAAAGTAATTAAAACTGAAATGAAATTTGATAAAAGCTATACAGAAAAAAAATAAAAAAATAAATAGAAAATATAATAAGAAACTAATTCAGAATATTAATAAAAAATATAATAGTCTAAAAACTAAAATAACACAAAATCCAGAGCACATGAAAGCATATTGCAGTCAAAATGAAACTTTTTGCAAGTTCAGTTAACATTTGCTAAACAGTCTAATATAAAATAAACATTTTGCCCCAGTGTGTCCAGAATTTGAGATTTGTCATTTGAGCACATCACTAATGATGAGTTCCCAGCAGCATCATTCATGTCTTCATCATCTTTCTCATCTGTCTGTCTGGTGTTCCTTCGTTTCTCAGATGAATTTCTCAATCATGCGTACATATCAGCATTGACTGACCGTGTGACGTAATCTCACTATCCTCAAAAACTACACAATGACCCACACAACATTACCTTCATTGAAGTAAACTGAAAATCGAATCAAGACGTGTGGAGTATTGAAGTGCAGTATAGACCTTAATCACATTATTACCATCGTGTAGGACTTTTCACCGCATTTTGCGACAGGACACACACTGCAGTGGTCAACCGTTTGACGGCAAACAAAAGAATGGCTTCAACAACCCCATCGTCTGTTTGCACAGACAGCATGACAAATAATTAACTGCACTTGAAGCTTTCAGTAAATTAAAAATTAAACACACAAAACTGTATATGGCAACCTAACGAAGACGAACTATATGTTGATACGTGAAATTCTGGAGGGAACATACAAGGAATATTCTAAAAGCAACTCATGTAAACACCTTAATTATAATATTGTCTTACTCAGAATAAGGTAAATAATTAGATTACTGGTGTCCATGTAAACGTAGTCATTGTCTTTCAGTATTGTGGCTCATTTCAGCCTTTTAAACATTCCTGTCTGAATGATGAACAGCATGAGCTAGTGTTGGCTGACTGATGGACTGAACAGACATGGTAATCACTGCCAGTCCCTCCACCCTACAGCTTTACGGCACATCTGCTAGTGGAAGTTGTGCTTGTTTTCTGGCCTTTATTGAAAACCAAGCGCTCACTCACACGCTCCTGTGATATTCAGCGGAGCTGGCAGAAGAGCTGTTCTGCTGCGATTTTAATTAGGGCTGGACGATATGGCTTATATCATGACAATATTTCTTAACTTCGGTCAATATGATATAATTCTGATATCGATATGAACGATATAAAAAAAAGCCTCAGAAAAACTGCCAAGAACGCCCACAACAGATGTCTGAATTTGAATCTGCCAAGTCTAATGAAGTGTCTTCCTATAAAACCACATAATATTTTAGAAATACAAACAGTACAAATGAATTAATGTTCACCTATTATTTGTATTAGCCTTCATACAAACGAGAAATGTGAAATTACCGTCAGATAAACATAAGACTCCCAGACGCACCTTTGGAAGGTATTTAACTTGTTCTTATAGATTGAAACAAAAGTGCTTCAGCCAGGATAAAGAATATGAAAAGTGCTCCGAGTTGCTGCAGAAAACAGAAAGTAGGTTCCCTCCAGAGATACATTCATGTAAAACAGTTTTGATTTTGAAATGTGCAGCGCTCATGTTTATTCAACAAAAGCCCTATTCGGACGGGACTAGCTTCACAGGGGGTCGTTAGAGAAATTTGTGTTTCACAGGCGTATATTTAGCGATTTTAATCCCGTCCGAATTCTGCCACGTCTGTGTTTTTCTCACACAACCTCTGTAATAATTCCAGAGCAAATGACCTGCTGTTTTTCTGCAAACTCAGTGATCCTCTGAGAAAACTAATCGTCCGAAAGTGAATGTGTGTGATTGCAGACGATATGTTTTTCACAGCGCGCTTCCTTGTGTGTTTTGGCCAACGTGAATTACCGTAGACGCTCTTACCGCGCGCATGTTTGATATATCTGCCTCCCGGCAAAGAAATAAAAAAATAACAATAATAAAATCAAGAGCCAGGTCATGTGAACTGTTAAGACTGGCTACTGTAATATCAGACTCAGTTACTCACCTTCATTTCTGCACTTAATTACATAATGTTTTAATTACATATGTACCTTTATGAAAATTAAACATGGGTTTACAACAAATAAATAAAAAAATAAAACCGTTAAACTAAAGTAACCACACATTAACCATGGTTTTGCTGTACTTCTAGCCATATAGCTTCACCATGGTATTTGTAGTAAAACTGTGGTTATACTATCAATCCGAATGACTACACAATGCAGTGCATCTCTGCGACGCCCAGATGTCCAAAACAGACCCTCTCACCTCTGTAATAAACACAGAGATGTTAGTCCCGTCCGAATCAGTACAAGAAAACCACAGACGTCTGGGGATAAGAATCGAAACTCAAACGTAGTTTAGAAAACTAGTCCCGTCCGAATAGGGCTAAAGTCAACTGCATTGGTAATGTATATTGAAATATCGTAAATGTGTTTAAAAAAATCATATCACCGTTACTGAAAAAAAATATGACGATATATGTTGATACTGAATTATTGTCCAGCCCTACGTTTAATCAGCTCTCATTGTCTTTCTCTCTGTGTGTTGCATCAGACTCTCAGTGGCAGTTTGTGTTCAGTGTGAAGTTTTACCCTCCGGACCCTTCGCAGCTGACTGAGGACATCACGAGGTACAGAAGCTGGTCGCTCTGAAGGCTGCGGGTGTCAGTGGGACTGTGGCGGCTCATGGTTTCTCTCCTGGTCTCTGCAGGTATCTGCTGTGCCTCCAGCTGAGGCAGGACATCGCGTCGGGCCGGCTGCCCTGCTCCTTCGTCACACACGCTCTGCTGGGCTCCTACACCCTGCAGGCGGAGCTCGGGGACCACGACCCTGAGGAGCACCGTCTGGACTACATCTCAGACTTCCAGTTCGCCCCAAACCAGACCAAGGAGCTGGAGGAGAAGGTGGTGGAGCTGCACAAGTCCCACAGGTCTGACGGCAGGCATCCTTTACAAATCTAATGCCATGAAGTCTCGTAATATTACAAAAGTCTTCACTGTCAATTTAAGAGGTATTACATTTAGGGACAGAAAAACGGGAATCGCGATACAGTGATGATTAAAGTCCAAATGGGTTATGATTTCATTAAATAAATGTGAGCGCTGCGTGTTCAGAGTCAAACGTTTCAGAGCAGTTTGCATTCAGTGAATAATGCACAGTTGTGCCAGGTGTTTGCTTGTGATCTGCTGTCGATGAATTATGATAGGGTTTACTTTATGATGCTGAAGATGGTTGCATATTTGATCTGCTTCATCTGTTTGAATGAGCTGGGAGTAACACACAGACATTTCAAAATAAGAGTCCCTGTATATTTCAGGCTTGTTTATTAAAGCAATAAGCCCCAAGAAGCCGAATTCTCGACGCGAAGCGGAGTGCCTAAAACCCCCTTAGCTGTTATAAATTCACTGTAAACCACGGCTTCACGGAGCTTATTGCTTTTATAAAACGGTTATTCCATAAACGTAGTAAGGTTTCACAAAATAAAACAGAGCAAATAAAGTGTAAAGATATTAATAAAAACAGTATTCTTCCACCAAACAATGTAGCTCCTCAGAAACAGTTGTGGTTGCTACAAAGTGGTTGCCGAGCAACACACAGAAGTAAACAAAGGTGTATGTTTGTAGAGTAATTTACAGCAGCTTCGAACGCGGCTCAGCCAATCAGAATCAAGCACCGGAACTCTCCGTTTTATAATATTAAATGTCTTGCATTTTCTTTATGGACCTTACGTTTTTAGTTACAGAATAGACTGTATCTGGCATTTAATTGTACCTTGTCATAAGGAGAAAATACTAAGAACATTATCTGATGTATTTAATATGTAGATTTCACTAGTGTATCGGCAACATAATCCGGTTATTCCCTTTTTTTAAACATATTATTATTATATAAAAAATCCAATATTACTCAACTAATATAATATTTTGTATGTAATGATATATTAGTTCACCATTTTCAATACATTGAATAAAAATGTCTTGAGATTAATCTTGTAGTTACCCCGTTTTGCAGGTGAGTATTTGCTGCAGCCTGTTTAATTAAAGAAAAGGTTTTTGTTTTGGGTGTTCTGTAGGGACAGTATTAATCTGTGCAGGTCTTTGAAAACTGATGCTGATGTGCTGATGTGTCCTGATAACCTCTGCCTCATATCTCCACCTGCTCTTTCAGGGGAATGACTCCAGCCCAGGCAGACGCCCAGTTTCTGGAAAATGCCAAGAAGCTCTCCATGTACGGTGTAGACCTGCATCACGCCAAGGTAGATCATCTCCAGACTGTCTCTCGTGGAAGTGTGCCGCTGTTTGCAGATTCAACTTTCAGGGAGACTCTATATTCATCAGCCCGTTGCTGTTTTTGGTCACTAGCGGTCCACATAAAGCACACACTTGGATACATCAGCCCTCTTATTTGACCAGCATTGCGGTTAGATCTGTGATCTGCTGACCTCTAGACCCGGCGGGAGCAGCTTCAGCTGAACAAACACTCAGACAGTGGGTCTGGGAAAAATATTCTTAAAGCCTCACAGGAATATCAGCTCTCTGGCTCTTTTCCCAGTGGGACTGATAGCAGTCTCTAGTCCACACTGTGTGTCTGTTCCTGAAGGTGAAGCTTGCGATACTCCGTTAGCACAGCATTGTTTCTTCAGCTCAGCTCGGAGAATCTCATGACCTTTAAGGACTGACACATGGTGCTGTATTAGGCAGGGTTTTTATACTTAACTAAAATTCAAACCCTAATAAAACACTTTCGTTACTTGAAATAAGCTTTAACTGAAATGTGACCCTGGAGCACAAAAGCAGTCTTAAGTCGCTGGGGTATATTTGCAGCAATAGCCAACAATACATTTTATGGGTCAAAATTATACATTAAAATTTATTTTATTATTATTAACATTTTTCTTTTCCAGACTGTCTCTCGTGGAAGTGTGCCGCTGTTTGCAGATTCAACTTTCAGGGAGACTCTATATTCATCAGCCCGTTGCTGTTTTTGGTCACTAGCGGTCCACATAAAGCACACACTTGGATACATCAGCCCTCTTATTTGACCAGCATTGCGGTTAGATCTGTGATCTGCTGACCTCTAGACCCGGCGGGAGCAGCTTCAGCTGAACAAACACTCAGACAGTGGGTCTGGGAAAAATATTCTTAAAGCCTCACAGGAATATCAGCTCTCTGGCTCTTTTCCCAGTGGGACTGATAGCAGTCTCTAGTCCACACTGTGTGTCTGTTCCTGAAGGTGAAGCTTGCGATACTCCGTTAGCACAGCATTGTTTCTTCAGCTCAGCTCGGAGAATCTCATGACCTTTAAGGACTGACACATGGTGCTGTATTAGGCAGGGTTTTTATACTTAACTAAAATTCAAACCCTAATAAAACACTTTCGTTACTTGAAATAAGCTTTAACTGAAATGTGACCCTGGAGCACAAAAGCAGTCTTAAGTCGCTGGGGTATATTTGCAGCAATAACCAACCATACATTTTATGGGTCAAAATTATGCATTAAAATTTATTTTATTATTATTAACATTTTTCTTTTATGCCTAAAATCATTAGGACATTAAGTAAAGATCATGTTCCATGAAGATATTTTGTAAATCTCCTACCGTAAATATATCAGAACTTAATTTTTGATTAGTAATATGCATTGCTAAGAACTTCATTTGAACAACTTTAAAGATGATTTTCTCAATATTTTGATTTTTTTGCACCCTCAGATTCCAGATTTTCAAATAGTTGTATCTCAGCCAAATATTGTTCTATCCTAACAAACCATACATCAATGGAAAGATTATTTATTCAGCTGTCAGATGATGTATAAATCTCAATTTCAAAAAATTTAACCTTATGACTGGTTTTGTGCTCCAGGGTCACAAATGATATAAAATGCATAAAACCATAAACTTAAAATTCAAACAGAAAATATAAAAATAAAATGAAATAAGTTAAACAAATAAAATAAACTTAAACTAAAATAAAACATAAAACTTTATTTTTATGTAATTTTATTTCAGCTTTTTCATTTTCATTTAGTTTAACTTGATATACTAAAACAACTGAAACTAAATAACGGAAATAAAAATAATTAAAACTCTTTAAAAAAACTAGTAAAAAATTACTAAAATGTAAAATAATGTAAATATTAATAAACAAAAATGATAGTATCTCAATGATACTAAAATAACACTGCTGTTAGTCTGGTCATGTCTGTCTGTATAAAAAACACTTTTGATGAAATATGCAGGGATTGTTGTAAATATTATATCACACTTTATGCCTGTGTAATGTTTACACTAAGGTTGTGTGCAGCATAGTTCTGATTTTTAAATTGCTCACATTTCCAGCACATAGTCACAGAATGTGAAAATGTCACAATGCAGAAAACATCTAGATGTTCCTCAACATAGACCGACCTCATTGTGTTTACACATAAATTATTTCTTATTTTTCTGGACGTGTTGACGTGGTTCTGTCCCGTGAATCTCTATATAGGCTGAGGCTCATCCGCTCTCCTCCGAGGGTCAGAGTTCACTGGAGACCTGCGGCTTTCAGCACTTACTGATGCGCTGATGTGTGAGAGATCAGATGTGTTAAAAACCTCTCGTGGAGACAGATAGTCTGAGTTCAGTCTGTTATCAGCGCTTTTGATTCCTCCCAGAGCTCTACGGTTAACACAGATGGATCAATAATCAGTGCTCCACGGCCCGAAAGCCCCGGCAATAAAGATCCATTTCGGACGTTACATAAACGCATTCAGATAAGTGCTGGAGTGGCAGCAGTGAGCGCCTTGATGCATGCCATTTATAATTATATTGAGACACTGAAAAAGTTTGAGTTTGGAGTGATTTATAGTTATTGTGTGTAACGGCGGGTGTCAGTTTCTTCTCTGAAACTCTCTTTACTTCCAGTGTTACTGTAGAACTGAGCAACGAGTCCAAATTATTGCAGAAATGTCAGTAATAAACCGGAGCAATCCTGTAAAACAGACTAAAGCAGTGTTTCCTGAAGCTCTCAGAGCAAAACACAACATAGTCCAATCTAATCATTCACACACAATCAGGTTTTTATTTTATTTGCATGTGACCGAAAGCATTCTGAATGACATGGTTTATGGCTTAAAATATCCCGACCACATCTGAAACGCGTGTTAATTTACATTTAATCATTTATCAGATGCATTTATCCAAAGCGGCTTACAAATGAGGGAAATAGAAGCAATCCAAAAAAAAAAAAAGGAGCAACAATATGTAAGTGTTGTGGGAGTTTCATTTTGTCTAACGCAGTACACATATATTTGTTATGATTTAATGATAAAAGTATTATAAAAAATAATATTTATATTATGAATACTATACAAATTTGAGGGGAAAAAATAGCAGAAAACCTATAGGCTGCATCTGACATAACCTCTATTTTGGAATGTCCTTATAAGGTACAAACAAATACAAATGAAGTAAATCATTCCAAAATTGCAAAAAGTTATTTTCAGGTGTCTTAAATCTTAGATAAATTGTATAATATTTATTTATATATTTCTCATAAACAATAGAAGTATTATAAAATAAATGGTTATATATATATATAATTTCATAAATACACAAAAAGTTGTAATATAAATAATAAAGAAAATTATAAAAGAAATGTGCTATTCCTTATAGTTAGCAATATTGGGATACACTTTATTTTAACATGAATTAGTTGCATGCTACATGTACTTAACTATAGTCTTAACGATAAATGATGCATCATCATCACAAGCAACTAACATTATACCAAACCCTAACCCCAGTCTTAACCCCATAATAAGTACATTTATTAATTAGTATTACTCAGTACTACTTTGTCTAATTATACTGTAAAAATGTCACCTTAACATAAAGTGTAACCTGTATTACTGTATTGAAAAGGCAGAAAAATTAAATGTTGGCCAAAAATGACGGTGAAAAACAACATAAAACAGCATACTGGCTAATAACCAAACTTGGGGTGATATATTGAGCAACCCTAATAAAATCAATAGGTGTCTACTGTGTGTGTGTGTGTGTGTGTGTGTGTGTTAATGCAGGCGTCTCAGAGATCTGCGAGTGGCTGCCTTTATTTTTCTAATAGTTATTCAGATTCATTCAGTTTTCACTGATCTACTCCTGACATAAAGCACAGACGTGTCTGAGTGTGAGCAGATCTTGTGCTGAAAGTGGATGCGAATGTCTTTCAGTTAAAGACTGCGTGTCCTCTTTTCCCAGGACTCTGAGGGAGTGGATATCATGCTGGGAGTGTGTGCAAACGGTTTGCTAATCTATAAGGATCGTCTGCGGATAAACCGCTTTGCTTGGCCCAAAATCCTCAAGATCTCCTACAAACGCAGTAACTTCTACATCAAGATCAGGCCAGGAGAGGTACGACTGAGCAGAAAACTGAGTCTGAGGCTGATGGCAATCACTGTGTCAGTAATACTGATAACTTGATTTATATGTGTGTGTGTCAGGCCGAGCAGTTCGAGAGCACCGTCGGCTTCAAGCTGCCCAACCACCGGGCCGCCAAAAGAGTTTGGAAAGTCTGCGTTGAGCACCACACCTTCTTCAGGTAAACATATCAGCAATACAACAGAGTTTTTGGTGAGTTGAGAGGCTTTAGGTGGCTGCAGAGCCTCACAAGACCTGAATCCATCCTGGAGGATGAGCTCTCTCTGTGTGTGTGTGTGTGTGCGTGTGCGTGCGCGCGTTTTTGTGACATATGAGGACACAAATTTGTATAATGACATGGGTATGACATAGGTATTACAAGGATTACAACTTGTGAGGACATTAGCCCATGTCCCCATTGTTCAAAACGCTTATAAATCATACAGAGTGAGAAAGTAAAAATGCAGAAAGTTTCCTGTAAGGGGTATGTTTAGGTGTAGGGCAATAGCACATTGTCAAATGTCCCCACAATTCACAAAAACAAACGTGTGTGTGTGTGTGTGTCTGTGGTAGAGCTGCGCGGTTAATCCTTAAAAGATCGCGATCTCGATTCAAACACCCATGCGATCCCATTTTTAAATGACAACGATTCGCCTGTGTATTAAACCTCTGAAAAATCATCCAGGAACATTCAAATCGCGCTGCCGCTGACACAGAGAGCAGACAGTTACCATGTTTCGGTAAGAAACCGCTTCACAAACAGTCTTTTCAACCACACAGTATTATTTCTGTCTCACAGTCATTCATATTATCACATAAATGTGTGTGTGTGCGTGAGGGAGCGTGAAGGTGGCTGGACATGAACAGGTTGTCGTCTTCTCTTATGTCATGTGTGCGGTCAGTGTAGCGTATTTGAAGCGCACACACAGTGAGGGGTGTGTGTGTCTCTCTAGAGAGCTGCGTGACACACTTAACCTCACGTGACTTCAGATGCACTGCTGCTCACAATAAGCTGCTCTCTTTTGTGTCCTGTCATATTTTATATTCTATTCTGCTCTGTTTAGTGATTTTTAAACTGAATCCAGTTAAAGTTTTCATTTAGCCAAAAACCAAACATTTAAATTAAACATTAGGCAGTTTTTATATTGACTTTTTAATGATATAATTATGCTTCTTCTCCAATTTCCTTTTGAAATAAAACATTTAAACACTGGTTGTAACTTATAATAACTTGTTTTCATGACAGATTTATTCAAACACATTAAATACATAATTTTTTTCTAGCCGATTTTCGAGATTATGGTCATTGAATGTCTTTTCTGAGGCAAATGTGACATTATTGCTCTCAAGCGGTTTTATTGCCATCTTTTTGGCATGGTTGAAACACTGATTACACAAGACATGATTGATTTCAGTAAGTTGTTCTGTTTCTGATGTTCGTTCATGTTTATTTGCTGCTGTAACTAGTAGTAAAGAAGAAGAGATGATCGATTCACGTGCAGCTTGAACTGATGCAGATACAGTGATCTGTCATGACACATCAAAGTGCATCAAAATTTAGTGAATTTAGTTATAAAATTGACAGAATTTGAATCTATATTGAATCTGAATTTATATCAGAGCACAAAGCTTATTGTGATTATTGGCTGGCAGATGCGCTACACAATGTTTAGTGAAGTTTTGTTCACGCATCAGCAGAAAACAGCATCGACTGAAAGATCGTTGTTCATCGAAGTGAAAATCAATTAAAATTGAGAAACTGATATTGTCAACCAGCAAAAGCATCACACAGCTGTGTTCCCCTGTTGTAGTTTATCCACAGTGTGCATGACACTGACACTGTCAAAAACGCGAAAGCAAAGAAACACTAATTAAACGTCACCGCTTCGGTCAATAATTTCATCCCTTTCTAAAGTTTTTTTTTTTTTCCTCCTGTTTTACCCGAATATTTTTGGTGCAGTTAATACTACGGGGCCGTTGAATGCTTGAATCTCATTGGTTGACGAATGTTCCAAGGTGTGCAATTATTTTCAGACTAAACACCTAACGACTAAAGTAGTTCCATGCAGCTCTTGACTGCATTACATAATCCATATCACTTCGCCAAATGATTTGTCATTTCAAAGGTCCTTACAGCCTAAAACAGCAAAAGAACCAAAATTCCACAATGACACTGACCAAGAAAATAAATATAGTAAACAATAGGATAAAAACAAATTATTTCCATGTTTTTGCCACAAAATTAGGTTTTATTATGCACAGAAAACACATACTCATTCTCTCGCTCTCTCTCCCACTCAAACGCACGCACATACAGTACAGACACTCTCACACACACGCGTGTTGTCAGTGCTACTCTGATGATTTTATCTGTTAAATAGTTACTACATGTACATGTCATTTCTCACTAGCGAGGTAACAATGGCACTGTTCTTGAAGCAGATAAACTAACGGTTTCACTATTAGTAGAGACGCTGCTGCCAAACACAGTTGAGCACATCACTGAGCTCTGCGCTGTGAGGAGCAGTGTGATATTTTACAGAACATGGGAATCAGAGAGCCCGAGCATTTACCTGCCCATTTACATCTGTCTTCATTTCTGTGGGCCAGACTCAGAGGAGATACTGTTCAAGACTTGATGGCATGATTTGTACGCTGGTCTGTAACTCAAACACACTGACTGCAGTCTGGAGCTGCTGTGATTTTGGCACGGATAATTCACACACACCAGCACATCACACTCTCAAACACATGCTGATGCACTTTATATGAGTTCAACCTTCCTCCTTTTCCTCAGTTTTTAACACTTAGTGCTCTCAGAGTGCTTTTCTTCTTTCTGACACGTTTTGCATCTGTTCTGTCCTTAAACTCCCACCAACACACCTGAGGAGGAGAACAGGACAGGCTTGAAGGAATGTTCTGGGCCATTGTCAACTGAACTGGAGATGCTGATCCTCTGTGACATGCTGTCCTTAATTTGGACCCGTCCCTCACTGTGTGCAAAAGACGGGAAATGTTTCACGCTCATTCCAATTCAGTTTTAACGAACAGTATTGTCGGTCATTACAGATTCCTGCACTTTGTCACTTTTGCCAATGTAAACATTTGTCACGGATTGTTTTGCTTGTAACTGAATGCAATTTATTGACGTAATGATTCCGTGATCTCGATCAACATTATCAATAGCTCTTAATTTTAGGGTATGTACAGCACTTATTATAGTGTTTACAAAAAACTGGGTATTAACTAGGCACTAACTCTGAACCTACCCTTAAACATGTAGTTACCTTACATTATGCAGTACATTTCTTATTACTGTACATGTATTGTAAAATGACATTATCCACTGAATCTATCAGCCCCACATTACAAGGCCAACACAATGAAAGAAAAGTAATACTAAACCTGCATAAGCAAATTTTATTTATTTTTTATTTTTTGCAATAAAATCCCTTTCACCAGCTGTCGGTTGTCGTTTTTGTGACATATGAGGACACAAATTTGTATAATGACATGGGTATGACATAGGTATTACAAGGATTACAACTTGTGAGGACATTAGCCCATGTCCCCATTGTTCAAAACGCTTATAAATCATACAGAGTGAGAAAGTAAAAATGCAGAAAGTTTCCTGTAAGGGGTAGGTTTAGGTGTAGGGCAATAGCACATTGTCAAATGTCCCCACAATTCACAAACACAAACGTGTGTGTGTGTGTGTGTCTGTGGTAGAGCTGCGCGGTTAATCCTTAAAAGATCGCGATCTCGATTCAAACACCCATGCGATCCCATTTTTAAATGACAACGATTCGCCTGTGTATTAAACCTCTGAAAAATCATCCAGGAACATTCAAATCGCGCTGCCGCTGACACAGAGAGCAGACAGTTACCATGTTTCGGTAAGAAACCGCTTCACAAACAGTCTTTTCAACCACACAGTATTATTTCTGTCTCACAGTCATTCATATTATCACATAAATGTGTGTGTGTGCGTGAGGGAGCGTGAAGGTGGCTGGACATGAACAGGTTGTCGTCTTCTCTTATGTCATGTGTGCGGTCAGTGTAGCGTATTTGAAGCGCACACACAGTGAGGGGTGTGTGTGTCTCTCTAGAGAGCTGCGTGACACACTTAACCTCACGTGACTTCAGATGCACTGCTGCTCACAATAAGCTGCTCTCTTTTGTGTCCTGTCATATTTTATATTCTATTCTGCTCTGTTTAGTGATTTTTAAACTGAATCCAGTTAAAGTTTTCATTTAGCCAAAAACCAAACATTTAAATTAAACATTAGGCAGTTTTTATATTGACTTTTTAATGATATAATTATGCTTCTTCTCCAATTTCCTTTTGAAATAAAACATTTAAACACTGGTTGTAACTTATAATAACTTGTTTTCATGACAGATTTATTCAAACACATTAAATACATAATTTTTTTCTAGCCGATTTTCGAGATTATGGTCATTGAATGTCTTTTCTGAGGCAAATGTGACATTATTGCTCTCAAGCGGTTTTATTGCCATCTTTTTGGCATGGTTGAAACACTGATTACACAAGACATGATTGATTTCAGTAAGTTGTTCTGTTTCTGATGTTCGTTCATGTTTATTTGCTGCTGTAACTAGTAGTAAAGAAGAAGAGATGATCGATTCACGTGCAGCTTGAACTGATGCAGATACAGTGATCTGTCATGACACATCAAAGTGCATCAAAATTTAGTGAATTTAGTTATAAAATTGACAGAATTTGAATCTATATTGAATCTGAATTTATATCAGAGCACAAAGCTTATTGTGATTATTGGCTGGCAGATGCGCTACACAATGTTTAGTGAAGTTTTGTTCACGCATCAGCAGAAAACAGCATCGACTGAAAGATCGTTGTTCATCGAAGTGAAAATCAATTAAAATTGAGAAACTGATATTGTCAACCAGCAAAAGCATCACACAGCTGTGTTCCCCTGTTGTAGTTTATCCACAGTGTGCATGACACTGACACTGTCAAAAACGCGAAAGCAAAGAAACACTAATTAAACGTCACCGCTTCGGTCAATAATTTCATCCCTTTCTAAAGTTTTTTTTTTTTTCCTCCTGTTTTACCCGAATATTTTTGGTGCAGTTAATACTACGGGGCCGTTGAATGCTTGAATCTCATTGGTTGACGAATGTTCCAAGGTGTGCAATTATTTTCAGACTAAACACCTAACGACTAAAGTAGTTCCATGCAGCTCTTGACTGCATTACATAATCCATATCACTTCGCCAAATGATTTGTCATTTCAAAGGTCCTTACAGCCTAAAACAGCAAAAGAACCAAAATTCCACAATGACACTGACCAAGAAAATAAATATAGTAAACAATAGGATAAAAACAAATTATTTCCATGTTTTTGCCACAAAATTAGGTTTTATTATGCACAGAAAACACATACTCATTCTCTCGCTCTCTCTCCCACTCAAACGCACGCACATACAGTACAGACACTCTCACACACACGCGTGTTGTCAGTGCTACTCTGATGATTTTATCTGTTAAATAGTTACTACATGTACATGTCATTTCTCACTAGCGAGGTAACAATGGCACTATTCTTGAAGCAGATAAACTAACGGTTTCACTATTAGTAGAGACGCTGCTGCCAAACACAGTTGATAACATCACTGAGCTCTGCGCTGTGAGAAGCAGTGTGATATTTTACAGAACATGGGAATCAGAGAGCCCGAGCATTTACCTGCCCATTTACATCTGTCTTCATTTCTGTGGGCCAGACTCAGAGGAGATACTGTTCAAGACTTGATGGCATGATTTGTACGCTGGTCTGTAACTCAAACACACTGACTGCAGTCTGGAGCTGCTGTGATTTTGGCACGGATAATTCACACACACCAGCACATCACACTCTCAAACACATGCTGATGCACTTTATATGAGTTCAACCTTCCTCCTTTTCCTCAGTTTTTAACACTTAGTGCTCTCAGAGTGCTTTTCTTCTTTCTGACACGTTTTGCATCTGTTCTGTCCTTAAACTCCCACCAACACACCTGAGGAGGAGAACAGGACAGGCTTGAAGGAATGTTCTGGGCCATTGTCAACTGAACTGGAGATGCTGATCCTCTGTGACATGCTGTCCTTAATTTGGACCCGTCCCTCACTGTGTGCAAAAGACGGGAAATGTTTCACGCTCATTCCAATTCAGTTTTAACGAACAGTATTGTCGGTCATTACAGATTCCTGCACTTTGTCACTTTTGCCAATGTAAACATTTGTCACGGATTGTTTTGCTTGTAACTGAATGCAATTTATTGACGTAATGATTCCGTGATCTCGATCAACATTATCAATAGCTCTTAATTTTAGGGTATGTACAGCACTTATTATAGTGTTTACAAAAAACTGGGTATTAACTAGGCACTAACTCTGAACCTACCCTTAAACATGTAGTTACCTTACATTATGCAGTACATTTCTTATTACTGTACATGTATTGTAAAATGACATTATCCACTGAATCTATCAGCCCCACATTACAAGGCCAACACAATGAAAGAAAAGTAATACTAAACCTGCATAAGCAAATTTTATTTATTTTTTATTTTTTGCAATAAAATCCCTTTCACCAGCTGTCGGTTGTCTTTTCTGTCACGTTGCAGTTTGTTGTCAGTAATAGATCACGTCATGAGAAAAACATAATGGACATGTGAGCACATGTAGATACCGTCTGTGTGTGTAGTGTGTGTCCTCTGAGCGCTGCTGTCTGTATCTCTGTTCACAGGTTGGTTTCTACTGAACAGCCCACCAAGACCAAGTTCATGACTCTGGGCTCTAAGTTCCGCTACAGCGGCAGAACGCAGGCGCAGACGCGACAGGCCAGCTCCCTCATCGACCGGCCCACGCCCTACTTCCAGCGCACCTCCAGCAAACGCATCTCTCGCAGTCTTGATGGAGGTATCGCACCTCATTTGCTCTGTCTGTGTGTCACAGGAACACTAGGTCTCGTTTCTAACGGAAGTATGAGTTCTGCATTACTAAATGAAACGTCTCTATATGAAATCCCCGTTCATCGGTTGAGTCTGTGTGGTTGTGTCAGGCTGATCAGAACAACGTTCATGTGAAATCCACTTTTTCTTGACACGTGCCATTTAATTGGAAATATGGGCTGGGCAATACAGCTAAAAATTGATCTCTCTATTTTTCCCAAATCTTGATGATATATAATACTTTTAAAATTTAAAAAGGTGATTTTTTTTTTTGTCCCCCCATCTAGAGACAGTAGTTATTGTTACAAAGTACATGCACATTGATATTGCAAAATCAGGGCTAGTTGTTTAAAAAAAAATCTAGACATACTGTAGTAATCAAATATTTACTGACTAACCAAACTAAAAAGGAACATTTAAAAGCATATTGAACTAAAGGTATCACTGTACCAATGTAACAATGAAATATAAAAATATGAAAATAATACAGAGCAATCTTCCTTACCAAAAGTTGTGGTTGTTGCGACAACAAAGCAAGTTCTTTAAAGAAGAACGAAGCGTGGTTTTCACTGTCAGACATGATTCACTCTTCACATTTTTGGATTCAATCACATTTAAATCCAGTTGTCAGTCCTTTGCAGTGAGTAGCTAGTGGCATGAAAAATAAGGCAAAGCGAGAAAGGAGCGTTCCCTTTTTAAATCACTTCATTATAATCAATGAATATCTTTTTTACTTCATGTTTATGTTGTTAGTTGAGACATGCTTAATGAAAGCCTCCAGCAGGTGTGTTGAGGCAAGTTGGAGCTAAACTCTGCAGGACACCGGCCCTCCAGGACCGAGTTTGGACACCCCTGGACTAAACCATCTGATTGGTGCTCAACAGAAATGTCTGTAATTGGCTACAATGGTCAATGTAGTTGTAAAAAGTTGTAAATAGAAACACGTATACAAGAGTTTGAAAGCAGTGGTCATAGTTGTGAAATGAAGAAGTGGTATTAGTTTGACTTTCTTAAATGTAAGCTAAACGTTTAATATTCGCTAATTTGTAGCACAATAGCACAATATTTTCATAACTATTAAATGTTGCATAGGATGACCTGTGATGTTGTGTGTTCAGGCCATGGTACAGCTGTGTGTGTGTGTGTGTGTGTGTGTGACAGGAAGTCTTTATCTGCTCCCACAAACTCTGGTCTCCAGTCAGCCTCGGCACTTAGTAAGGCACTGAGGCGCAGCGCCTGTTTTTTTTTTTTCTCCAATACAACATGCCCAAATCTCATCTGTACCCTCAAAGGAGCAGAAAACAAGCGTGACGGCTGATGTTGCCGCAGCGTGTTTGTCATTGAACTCTTCCCGCTTCCAGGTTATGAACTCTTTATCTGCAGGAAATTTCCCAGCGGTGAATGAGGCCGTTCAGCTGAGGTCTCTCTCTCTCTGTGTGTGTGTGTGTGTGTGTGTACTAGTTTAACCTACATTATAAAAGTCCAAATGTCCGTACTAGGATGGTAAACCTGAAATCGGCTGCAGCAGTCGCCATGAAGAAGACCGATTAATAAACACTAAATAATACATATGTAAAAATGCAGATAGGTTTCTGTGAGGTCAGTTTCAGGGTTAAACACCGGCCCCACCGTCATTTTGCTTTTCTTAATGATATAAAAACTGCTTAGTTCAGTTGGACAAAGGACGCTTGAACTCTAAACTGAAAGCGTCTGCTCCATACAGAAGCATGATAAATGAGTCCAGTGGAGCAGCACTACTCATGTGAACGGGTTATTCACCTCTCGTTTGTCATGTTTTTTCTCTCTGTATGAATGAACCCAGGTTTATCTGTCGCTGCTGTTCTCGTGTCCTGATACGTTTTCGGCTGAGGGGTGATCTTGTGCTGTATTGTTGTGTCCGTGTGCATGAATAGATGTAGCCGGCTGTCTGCCGTGGACAGACACAGGAAATGAGGGACATCTGTTTCCTGTCTGTGGAGCGAGCAGGAGAGATGAGCTCAGAGGAAATGAGGGTTTTATAGGCAGAGCAGAAAGAAGCACAGAAAGCATCAGCGTCAGGCTGCTGTATGTGTTCATGATAAACGCTGCTGATCAGGGTCAGAGCAGAGCGCACACTCCACAAACAAAACACTGCATAAAAATATTGAACAAATGCAATTTGCAGTTTCAGATTTTTATATTACATTTATCAAGGTTAGTTTGCAGAATTTTTCCCACCAAAAAAAAGAATTTTCCATCCTCATTTTTGCTCTCTGGGGAAAAAAAGCTCAATTTTAAGGGGCGTTTCCTTTTGCAGAAACATTGCTGTGATTGGCTAACTTTGTCACACTGTAGCCACGCCCTCATTTACAGCATGTCGTGTGTTTTGATACTCGAGATGGCAAGCGCTGTGATAGAGCCATATATGCTTGAGTCCCAGAGAGAATGAATTGCAACAGTCTGTTTTCAGTGTGGGAATTGCTTTTGCTTGCTTCATTTTCAGTGTATAGTTTTTGAAGCACCGTTATTATCACAAAAGATTCTGCAGCTTAAGTAGGTTTGAGAAATTACATTGTTTCTCATTCATTTGCCAAAGGTTAAACATTTGTTTTGGTTGCAGCTTTCGTGCTTGGTGTTTTAATAACATTAAACGCTGGTTTGACGTTTATTACAAACACACTGTAAAATTCTAAATAAATGCGCTGACCTGCATTTTCTCTGTTTGGCACTGCTGTATCTTTCAATAAATACATTGTGAAAAACCACCCGCGTGTTTAGAATAATTCACAAAACTAATTGTGAAATATGAACAACAAATGAAAACGTTATCTTTAAGTCGCTCATGCACGTCATTAAAAATAAACCTCAGCCATGCATTTCTAATGCTCGGATCTTTAGAAAGGCTATGCAGAGTTTTCTTTTTTCCACTGACAGAACAATGTCTGAGTTTGACGGCCTTACTCAGCATCGTTCTCCAGCAGCAGTATGATCTAGTGATTGATGGACAGATATAGTTGCTCAGAACAGACGATGATGACGCATATTAAGGGGTGTGTCAAGAAGAAATTGTGACGTCACGATTCTCTTGATTTCAAATCCAGATGTTTAAGAAAGGCAGTATTTGAAGGAGTTAGTTCAGAGTTTTGAGACTTGCGGCATGTTTTTTACTGTAGAGTGACCTCTTATGTGTGATAACATCAAGAACATTTTGGTTCTCCATTTCATGGTTCCTTTGAAACTGGGGGAAGAGTGAATTATTTTCTGCTGATCATACGCTGTGGCGCTTCAAAGTTATGAACTCAGAACATTCCTGTAAGAAGTGGTTTGGTCAACATTGTGAGCGATGAGGCTAAAGATAGCTTCAGCTCTGGTCACTATCAGCCCTGAGTCTTTCCAGCAGTGAGCAGGATGGTTTATTTTTGTGTGATGTGATGCTGGAGAATCAAACCGAGTCGGAGGTGTTTTCTGTATTGGTGCGTCTAGCCCTTTAATTTTGTACTGGTTAGCACGTGGTCAGCATTCACCTCGTGTAGAGGGCAGTGTGTTAGCGCTCTCAGGCTGAATTATGCTTCTCTCAGTACTGCATCTGTTGCTACTGTGAGCACACATCAGCATCACATGACGGACGCTCAATAATCCATCATAACACAAAATACATCATCCCTGGGAGCAGGGAAGTAAACTCATGCTCTGCATCGATTCAACGCTGATGAAAGCTTCTGAGAATCTGCTTTCCCAGCTCCTCTCCATTAAAATGACCCCGTTCTTCCTCCTGCTGGGAATCCAGTCACGGCCGTGGTGTTTTGATAATGTTCATGCAGGGCTGCGCGGGGAACTGCGGGTGGCCCAGTTCTGCGGCGTCTCAGAGCTGTCACAGAGTGACCTGATGAAACGGACGTCCCAGCAGCGCAGGCTACATTAGCCTACTTTCACACAGATCAATCCAGGCCATGCCGAGCGGGAGGCGGGAAAAGAGCGCTCACACGTTCCTCAGTACCATCTGATCCATTATTCACAGGTTCCTAATGGAGAGTTGCGGTGCTGCTGTGAATCTCACGGGTTATAGTGCATGTTTGAGTGTTAGTACTCTATATTCAGAAGTGTGGACTGTAGTGCTCCTCTGGCTAACTAGAACACACTCCCATAAGAACGCTTACATAAACCATATGCGACCCTGGACCACAAAACCAGTCATAAGGGTCAATTTCTCGAAATTGAGATTTATGCATCATCTGAAAGCTAAATAAATAATCGTTCCATTGATGTATGGTTTGTTAGGATCGGACAATATTTGGCTGAGATACAACTATTTGAAAATCTGGAATCTGAGGGAGCAAAAAAATCTAAATATTGAGAAAATCATCTTTAAAGTTGTTCAAATGAAGTTCTTAGCAATGCATATTACTAATCAAAAATTAAGTTCTGATATATTTACGGTAGGAAATTTACAAAAAATCTTCATGGAACATGATTTAATATCTTATCTTAATATCCTATTAGACTTAATATCCTAATCATTTTTGGCATAAAAGAAAAATCGATAATTTTGACCCATACAATGTTTTTTTGGCTATTGCTACAAATATACCCCAGCGACTTAAGACTGCTTTTGTGCTCCAGGGTCTCATATCCATTTTTACATATATGTCCTCATGAGAAACGGTTCATGTGTGAATAGGGCTTAAGTGTGAGCAGTAGAGAGGAGATAGTCGTGGGAGCGTCAGTTAGAATTATTTAAAAATTATTTTCAGTGCAAAATGTATGACATTCTGTTTCAGCTGAGGTGTTTATGAATTGATTATTAATAAACATGAATGATTTTTTAAAAACCCAACATTTAATGAAAAATAGTCATACAGTGGCTTTTGAGATCACTGCATGTTTCTACTGTAGGTTCTTTTCTAATTGAATTCAAACTTTGTCAATGAAAATCAAAGAACTGACCAACATAACAGTTTGAGGGGAAAAAGTTAATTGAAAAATAAACATGAATTTGAGTGTCTTATCTACTTAAATTTGTTTAGTCACCTGTAAATAGTGCAAAACTTCATTTTAAAATCCCACAACTGTTCACTTCCAGGTTTAAATGGAAAAAAGTCTCACCCTGCATCTCAATGTTCATACTATCCATCCTAAATAGTATGTGAGATTAGAATAAGTGTGTCCCAAAGCATAGTATGTTGAAAAGAGTATGCCAAAAGTCAAGTTTTGAAGTGTGGATCCGTGCACACTCTGATGGCTAATATTGCCCACAATCCATTGCGCTTTGGTGAAGGATTCTAGAAAGAACTACAAACACGAATAAAATGCGTTAAAAACTACAAACATGGCGGATGTGCGCGACCGGCGGTTAGGTAGAGAGGCTTAGAAAAAGGGGTTTGAGTTACTAATATTCAACATTTAACCTGGCAAAAAAATATATTTATTAAATGTTATCTGTGTTATATTTCAACTGCAACAGCAATGTAAACTGTTATAAACATCCGTTTGGTCGTTAACTTTTAAATGCATCATTATGCATAAAATATGAGCAGAGTTCTCGGCATGAAAGCCCCGCGACTGGCAGATCAACGAGCTAATTCTTTTCTCTCCAATAGTGTTGGAAGTTAAATTAAATGCAATGTGGAGGATGTTAACTGTGACAAGATGATTGACAGGCCAGTTTACAGTGACAGGGTGCGTGTATCTATGCGACGGAGCATCCGTTAAAGACGCAGTTGTGTGACGTGATAGTATGTCCCAAAGCTTGCCTACTCTTCTACTACACACACAAAAGTGTGTACTTTTTCTTCATCAAAACAGTACATACTTTAAGGGCGTAGTATAAGTAGGCACATTGAGACGCAGCATCAGATTTGCTAAGTGGTTTCAGTCAGACAGCACTGTTTAAAGATTTGAATATATGGACTACTGACTAACGGTATGTTTCTCTCTCTGTGTGTGTGTGTGTGTGTGTGTGTGTGTGTGTGGCGGCAGCTCCTGTGGTGAACGTGAGTGATTACAGTCAAGCTGCAGGCGCTGGAGAGAACGGCCCGGCTCTGGAGCTCAACTCTGACTCTAAGGTGAGAAAGACCCTCTTCATCATCTTCATCACAGTCCTCAGCTCTATAGGAAGTGCTCTGGAACAATAACTAGCTATTACCCCTGCTCAGACGTTAAACATACAGATGCCTTCCCACTCATACTGCTACATTGAGTTTCTCTCAGGGTGTTTAATGAAAATACTTCTTTTGGTGTTTCATCTTATCCCCATTTTTTTTTTTTTTTTAAGGGCCGCTGGCATCCCTGCCGTAACCTACAGCTCTCACATGAAGAGAGGCTTTCACAGACGCCCTACACGCAAGCCAATGGAGGATGTTAGCGCTTTGAGAACTCATCCTGTCTGTGTAACTGCCCTCAAACGCACACAAGCCAGCTTTGTGACAATAACAGCGTGATCTAGCCCATTATTGGCTGTTTCCGTGGCGATTGACATTCCAGCCCTCTGCTCGTCACCGGCCTGCTCGTTAGATATGATGTAGGTCCAGCCCACTGAAGAGCTCCTGATTGAGTTACTCTCGTTTAGGACACTGGAATCCAGACAGATGCCTCTGTGTTTCTCTCAGGGCCTTTTCACACTTGATCTGAACCAGAGTTCACTTTCTCTCCACCAGAGGTTTACCTGTGTAGCTTCTGCCAGGTCGACCGATAGTGGATTTTACCGATACTGATGGCTAGGTTGGACCACACTGGCCGATACGATTAATCAACCGATAGTTTTTAAAATGGATACTGAATGAAAACTAAAATAGTGCTTTACTATTTAAAAAAACCCAATACTGAACCATAATTTGTAAATTATTAAAATGATTAATATTGCTTATATTAAACATTAGTTAGCTTATAGTTTATTAACTAATGCTAACAGAAGAAACGTTAAAATTTAAAAATGTATTAGTAATGGTAAATGTTGAAATTAACGCACTCTAACGAGGAACAATACTTAAACAGCTTTCATTAATCTTAATGTTATAAATGGACTCTTATTTTAAAGTGTTACTATTTCATGCTTAAAGATGGTCATCTTTAAATATCTACACAAAGTCCATAGCATTGAAATTACTTGCATATGGTTATTGTATATATACTCTCACACTTTATTTGCTTCCGTTTTATAACACTTAATTAAATAACAAAATATGTTAGTCACACACCAGGGAAAAGCACAGCGCTGTGTCTAAGAGAACTCACAGATATCTCACACACCAGACCGTCACGTTCAGCTCGAGCGGCGGTCTAAAACAGTTTATTTAATCAACAAACGGACATAAGTTTACTTCAAGAATGAACAATGTGACAGATAAGTTTGAAGTTCGGTGTTTAAAAAACGGAGCAAACGGAAAGAGAAAGC